TTTTTTTTGTCTCTCCTTCTCTCTCTCTCTCTCTCTCTCTCTCTCTCTCTCTCTCTCTCTCTCTCTCTCTCTCTCTCTCTCTCTCTCTCTCCCTCCTTCTCTTGACGTCGGTGAATTCGCTCTTTCTTTTTCTTTTGAAAAAAATCTCGTAGATTGGTCTTCTTCTCTGGCGACAGCTAATGCACGACGAAGCTGCTTCGCGAGATCCAGCGAACACGTAAAGATTAGCATTGCGACGGAGATCCGCGATTCGGTCTTAGCGACGCTCTGGTGTGACCAGATCCGAAAACTACTCATTCTCTCTCATTTCTTTATCTTTCGCGCTCTCTCGCTCCTCCATAGTCGCCCTTGACTGAGGATTGGCCGGCTGCCGCTCAGACGCTAGAAAAGCTCCGGCACTAGACCAAATCGACGGTTCCTCGTTTTCTTTGTGATTGGGCTACTGAGATATTGAGATTGGGACGAAGATGGAGATCGCCGCAATAACACAGCGTACGAAGCAACTGCGATTTGAGAGGCGATCCCTTGCGTGATGCAAGATATGAAGCCATCGATGGTAAATCGTGTTTGTGTGAGAATTAAACATCCAAATTTATGGCTAGGCGTGATTCTGTTAGTTTTCATTAGTATTTTGTTGTTGTGATACTTTGAGACAAAGAGCGAGTGCGAAAGAGAACGAAGGACGGAAAGAAGAATAAAATTTGTAAAAAAGAAAAAGGAAAAGATTGTGAAAGATTTTTATGAAAAATATCCTATCAGAATTTTTTTTTTCGTGAAGTCAGAACGAAAAATTTCATTTCAAAAAAAATATTCTGATAGATTATAAAAGATATGAAATATTATCTTATCGATGGTCTTTATTTATTTATTTTGCTTACTAGACCCTTGGTAGATTTCAAAAATTATAAAAATATACAAATCTAAAATCTCAAAACTGTATAGTTGTATTATTTTCTTTATTTCATATGTTTTAAATTATTATTTTTTCTTATTGAAGAAAATACTTATATTATTTTTTGTGCAAAACATGCTCAGATAATATATGTATTCTTTTTTAATAAGGAGAGTGCATCAAGAGAATTTCGAGAGCATAAGGGTGTATTATTTTTACAACTCAAATCATAACTTCTTTTTATATAAGAAAATATTGTAGTGAAAAATTAAATTTAAATTTTTATAAGAGAAAATACAATAGTAAAAAAATTTGAGTTGCGACCTGAGAAGATCATACCCAAAGGTTCCAACGTCATAAAATATTGAACCAGAAGATAATACAGTGATATTTCCCCTTATTGTTATCGTCAATAAATACACATTTATGCCATTTGTTTATTTTATTTATAAGTTAATGTCGTTTTTACTTTATTGTAGTTTACTTTTCTTGTCATTTTTTTTTTCTCCTCGTTTTCGTTCTCTTGTCGTTTATTTATCCCATCATTGTTGTCATTTGTTTATTTAATTGTCGTTGTACACGTGGTCATCATCGTCGTTTATTTTCTTGTTAATGTCGTTTGCTTATGTTATTGTCGTTTATTGTTCTCGACCCGTCATTTCAACTTCGCTGTCGTTCAATTTTTGCTGTCGTTTATGCCAAGTGGCGCAAAGAAAACGTCTCGCGCCAAAGCCACACTCTCTCAATCCTCCCAAATCCGATGCGATGCAAATTGCCAATCTCTTCTCCTTCTCTGCCCCAAAATCCCCACACCTCTTCCCCAGAGCTGCCTTCAAGCCCTCCCACCGGCTCAGCCTCTCTCCGACCACCACCGCCGCCACCCTCGAAGCCGAAACCCTACAGCTTCTCGAATGGAGCTCCGTCTGCAACCAGCTCTCCGCTTTCACCTCCACCTCCATGGGCTTCTCCGCCGCCCGGACCGCCGCCATTCCCTTCGGCCGCTCTCGGGACGAGAGCCAGAAGCTTCTCGACCAGACTGCCGCCGCCGTGGTCGCCATCGGTTCTCGGCCGTTGGATTTCTCCGGAATCGAGGACGTATCGGGAATTGTGAATTCCGCATATTCCGGTGTGTTGCTTACTATCAAGGAGCTTTGCTCGATGAGGAGAACGCTAATGGCGGCTAGGGCTTTGTCTGAGAAGTTGAAGGAACTATCTTCTAGCGGAGATTGTAGGTAAAGGTATCGATTATTTGTTGGATTAATGAGCTTTTTAAAGTTTTGTGTTGATTACTGATTCTTTTTCCTTCTTCTTAGTGGTTATTCGATGATTAATTGTTCTCCAATTTTTGTTTTACGACGTGGTTGGAGATTATTAGGAGTTAACTTTGTTATAAGTTGTTATCCCAGACTTTGAAGGCCTCATTTAAATCAATGCTTGAACTCGTGAGCATTTTTTTCTACGATGTTTCTTTTGATAAGTTTTCCTTTTTGCTTTTGACATTGGATTATTGCTATGAGTGGAGTGGGATCAGGATGTTTTATTTTTCTTTTGCACAACCGAAAGTAGAAGCATTTCTGGCACCGATTCTTAACTAAAATTCAAACTTTCAACATGAATGGAGTTCTAAAGAGTGGTTTGTATCTAATTCTACTCAAACAGGTACTTGCCCCTTCTTGAATTACTTCAAAATTGTGATTTTCAAGTGGAACTGGAGCAAAAGATAAGATTTTGCATAGATTGCAATCTCTCAATTATCCTTAGTAGAGCGAGCGATGATTTGGAGATTATTACGTCTGAAAGAAAGAGGAACATGGAAACTCTGGAAGCTTTGTTAAAGGGTGTTTCATCTCAGATTTTTCAGGCTGGTGGTATTGACAGCCCTTTAATCACAAAGCGGCGGAGTAGGATGTGTGTGGCTGTTAGGGCTTCCCACCGGTATTTACTCCCGGATGGCGTAATTCTAGATGTTAGTAGTTCTGGGGCGACATATTTTGTGGAACCTAGGGATGCAGTGGAGTTAAATAACATGGAGGTGAGGCTTTCTAATGCTGAGAATTCTGAGGAGATAGCCATTTTGAGCTTGCTTACATCTGAAATAGCGAAATCAAAAGGCGCAATGGAGTATTTGTTGGATAAAGTTCTAGAAGTTGATCTTGCGTTTGCTAGAGCTGGTCATGCTCTATGGATGAATGGGGTCTGCCCAAGTTTCACTTTAGAATTTAGTGAGGTTGTAGATTCCGGCAACTCAGATTACTCTACATTTTTGGATATTGATGGAATTCAACACCCATTACTCCTTGAGTCATCTCTTAGAAGTTTGTTAGATATAGGATCTAAGAATTCTTCAGATGGTGTATCGTATTCTTCGCATCATTTAGCCAATTCTTTGGATGGTGTATCTGACTATCCTGTGCCAATAGATATCAAAATTGGCCATGGCACCAGAGTGGCTGTGATCTCAGGACCTAATACTGGAGGGAAAACTGCTTCCATGAAAACTTTGGGTCTGGCATCACTCATGTCAAAGGCTGGAATGTTCCTTCCTGCAAGAAACAACCCAAAACTTCCATGGTTTAATCTGGTTCTGGCGGATATTGGAGATCAACAGGTAGTATTTTCCTCAATTGTGGCAGATAAGGTATTGGTTATTTGAGTTTTCCATTATACTCTGACTTTAGTTTTCCACTTGAAGTCGCTGGAGCAAAATCTCTCAACTTTTAGCGGACACATGTCACGTATCCGTAACATCTTGGAAGTGGTCTCAGAAGAATCACTTGTCCTCATTGATGAAATTGGAGGTGGAACCGATCCTTCAGAAGGTTTGGCTCTTTCCACCAGCATCTTGCAGTATCTCAAAGATCGCGTGAACTTAGCTGTTGTGACTACTCATTATGCGGATTTAAGTCGCCTCAAAGAAAAGGACAATCGGTTTGAGAATGCAGCCATGGAATTCTCTCTAGAAACTTTACAACCTAAGTATCAGATTCTTTGGGGAAGTAGTGGTGATTCAAATGCATTAAGTATTGCTAGGACAGTCGGTTTCGATAAAAATGTAGTCGAAAATGCAGAAAAATGGATAGAGAGGTTAGTTCCAGAGCAGCAGCTGGAGCGGAGAGGTTTGCTAAATCAATCATTAGGGGAAGAAAGAGACAGACTGGAAGCTCAGGCTAAGAAAGCTGCATCTTTACACGCAGATGTTATTGAACTTTATTGTGAGGTACTGCTCAAAGGTTTCTGGGTGCTTGAATATTTTTTCTCCTGTTTCTTCCTTCCTTCCAGCACAAAATGGACCAAACTTTATTCGCTTATCAAATAAGACAATAAACACTGAGACTGTGATTGCCATCAATAAAATAAGGTGTTCCATTGTTTTGCAGATTTGTCAACATAAAAAGTGACATAAAACGAAAATTGTTCTCATGTAATATATGGCACAGATTCTGTCATTTGTTTACCATGGTAGTTTCTTTTCTCATTTATTTTCTCACTTTTTTTCTAATTTTTAATTTATTTGAAGATCCAAGATGAGGCTGAAGATCTTGATAAACGTGAAACAGCTTTGATGTTAAAAGAAACCTTACTGGTCCAGCGGGAGGTGAAAGCTGCGAAATCTCAAATGGAAACTGTGCTACAGGAATTTGAAAATGAACTCAGAACAGCGAGCTCCAATCAATTAAATTCTCTGATAAGAAAATCGGAATCTGCAATTTCATCTATCCTAGAAGCTCACTCTCCTGGTTATGGTTCCTCTGCTCGTGAAACAGATGCCAATTCATACACACCCGAAGTTGGAGAGCAAGTTCATTTGAAGGGACTCAGAGGTAAGTTAGCCACTGTAGTGGAAGCTCCTGCTGATGATGAAACAGTCTTAGTGCAATACGGTAAAATTAAGGTTCGCGTGAAGAAAAGTGATATCAGTCCGATACCTAGTAGTAAGAAGAAAGCCACTACTGGTTCCACCCAACGATTGAAGCAGCAGGTAATGGGCTGGAGATGTTTCTCCTTCTGATTATGTTATTTGTTCCTCTGTTATTATTTCATCCATTCTCTCTCCTATAACGAGTTTAGTTGTGTGGCTTAGTTCTTTTTGAACACACAAGAGTTTTAGATGAGCTAGGAGGAAATTGTTCCCAATTGGACAGTTCTGTCATATTGGCTGATTTGCGTAAATGGACTTTACCACAGAAAGCCAGCCTTTCTAAATACACTAAAGACAAGATTTTCTGGTTCCTCTTAACAACTTGTCAACGTTCTAGGACTTCGGACTGTTTAAGAACAAATACCAAGTGCATGCTATGGGGACGGTATTTTTCCATTCATACTATTTATCGAATTTTATGTTTGTTTTCAATTTTAACCTTGTTTTTGGCCTACGCAACACTTAGGAAATTCATACGACAATTTAACACATACATGGATGCACAAAATTTGGTGAAGATTGCTCAGCATAGCCATAAGATTGAACCCTAGAAGCCATGAGGTCTTGCTTGTTTCTGTGATGATCTCTATATGTCTTAATTGCCTTTAAAGTGAAATCTAATGTTGTTGATCAATGTCTTTGTAGCTTCAGGCGAGCAGAGAATTCCAGAGTCAAAGAGGGGACAACAAAGGAGAAGAGGTTTCTTATGGTCCCGTAGTGCAGACATCAAAGAACACAGTCGATCTACGTGGTATGCGCGTAGAAGAAGCTTCTTACAATCTGGAAATGGCCATTGCAGAAAGAGAGTCGGGTTCAGTTCTCTTTGTCATACATGGTATGGGCACTGGAGCTGTCAAGGAGCGTGCACTTGAGATGTTAAGAAACCATCCACGAGTTGCTAATTATGAGCAAGAAAGCTCAAGGAACTATGGTTGTACAATTGCTTACATCAACTAGTTATGTCATTTTGTCAACTTGGTCAAGCAAATTACGTAGGTAACTGTTTCCTCCATGGCTTATCATGTTTTTCGCTTTTTTCTTTTGGATTTCTTTGGGGGTAAATGACCTCTGAGCATTTTGTAAAGTTGAAACGTGAACTATTGGTTCTTTAATTTACTACGGATTCATTTTTTTTTTACTTTCATTTTCAATGTTGCCAATATTAGACCCTCTCAAAAGGCACTCTTTGCTTATTTCCACATCATGAATCATTAAGGGCCTGTTTAGTTCGGCTGATTTGAATTTTTAATTCAAGTTGAGATGTGATTTTATGTGAGTTTTTACTGTAGTAAAAAAGTTAAATGTGATTGTTTCTGAGAACTTTTTAGTGTAGCAAAACTCGAATCGGTGAAATGAATGGGGCCTAACTTATTTAGGAGATTTCTTGTGCTCCATATTACGATGGAAGTTTGTCAAACTTTGCTTCATGGTAGACGCGGAAGCATAAAATAAAAGGCAAGGCTTGTATGCTCACGGGACTTCTAAAATTCTATATATATATATATATATTTTTTTTTTCAGAGGCATGTGGGTCTTCTCTCTTTCTCTCAAATAATGTTACAAGGTACCAATGGTGCTCACCACCCAGACACTCACTAATAAATAGGAGATCCTGCAGCACGAGACTCATAGAAAGAATCCATGTTCTATTAAAATGGTGCTTAGCATCAGTGCCACCCCAAACATTTTTCTTTTTTCTCTTTTCAAAAATAAGCACTAGTTTTGTTTCTCGAGAGGCAGAAAATTTTCTTTTACTGATAAAAGGACTGTAACAGTCCGCTCCACTAGAAACCAGAAGAAGTTTTTGGCACTTTGTCTGCATCTTCTGCTTATCTTCCTTTCCTTATTACACGTCTCACTCCAAGCAAGCTATTGAGCTGCCACACGCATTTCCCAACGCAGGATTCTTGTAAGCTAGCAAATTTCTTCAATCTTCCTTCCGTTACAATAAAGTTGAGGTAAAGGGGTCGTCTGTCGTCAGCTTTATCATCCTGAGATTTTTGAGGGTCTTGCTGAAAAAAAGATGTTGGCTGTTTTTGAGAAATCAATTGCAAAACCACCTGAAGAGCTGAGTCTTCCTTCTTCAATGGGTTTAGAGAAGTCCATGACCCGAGAACAAATCTTGGAGAATTTTCGGTCTTCTTGTACTGAGTTGACTGTGTGCAATCTTGCAAATCGGAATTTCATGGCCTTGTCTGAAGATGATAATAGTTTTGAACACCCCAGGTATTGAATATTATATCTCTTCTGGTTAATATCATCCACTTTCTTCTAACATGGAAAAGCTTAAACCATCCAGGTGCAAAATTTAGAAACTTTGGCATTTTTACAGAATTATTGAAAATTATGTTCTTTTTGATGTAAAAATCAGGTCTATCGTTGTCGTAGACGACGTCTTCTGTATTTTCATTGGAACTCTTGAAAACACTTCAGATCTTAGACGCCATTATGGCCTTCAAAGACAAGCAACGGAAGCCATCGTTGTGGTTGAGGCCTATAAGGTTCTAAGAGATAGAGCACCTTACCCAACTGATCAAGTCATTAAAGATCTCCAAGGAAACTTTGCATTTGTCCTCTTTGATGCTGCATCTGGTACTCTTTTTGCAGCCAGGGTGAGTTAAACACTCATTGGCATTGGATAACTAATTTGTTAGGGAGCATATTAACCCCCATAAAAAAACATCATTGTACTTTTCCACATGAGTTAAGAGCTTGTTTGGTAAGAGGGCAAAGTGAAGGATTTTGGGACAATGGTTGTTTGGTAGAAGAGAACAGATTAGATAATGGATTTCAAATTCGTCCAAATAACCGGAATTTTGATCTGTCCAAATATGGAGAGATTAGATGAGAGAATTCATAACAAACACAATAAGAGAATCCTTCCTCTCTATTTTTCTCACCTAGGTTACATGCATTTCTTTCCTTCCTATTTTCTTTCCTCTTACTGAGCATGGCTTGAGTTTCTTCTCTTTAATTATCCGTGAGCAACTTTTCTGTAGTGTTTTTACTTAGCATAATAATTAATATTTTGTTTAATTTTTGTATATGTGACTATTTTGCTGAAAAATAATGTGCTAGGACCGTAATGGAGGCGTTGAACTTCACTGGGGATTGGCTGGTGATGGATACTTGGTCTTTTCCAACAATCCCAACTTCATCAAAGAAGCTTGTGGAAACTCTCACTCACCTTTTCCTCCAGGTAAATTCCAACTTCCAGAGTAATCCTCTCCTTTCCCCTCATAACTATCAAAGTCACGTTTTATTTGAAAGTTTGTAAAATGACAGAGACTAAACAAGGCTCAAGTTCTTAAAGATATTAGTTCGATATCTATCCTATCTATTCTAAGCGCCAATCCCTTTTTTTTGTAGAGTTTCGTTGCCGCCTCTCCTTTCTTTTTTTTTTTTTCCTTCCCTTTTTTTCATTTTTATCCTTTTTCTCCAATTATACATTTTTTTTTATTTCTCTAAATGGGACCCTAATAAATATGTTTTTCAATCCTTATGTAAGTACGCACGCGATTCAAACTAGTATATCTACCCTCTTCTAAGTCTAATTAGTACCGCAGGCTGCATTTTCAAGAATGGAAGTGAGCTAAAAAGCTTTGATCATCCACTACACAAGGTAAGAGCAATTGCACGTGAAGATGACAACGGAAGCATCTGCGGGGTCATTTTTCAGGTGGACTTGTACACTCGACTCCACAGCATTCTGCGCACTGGCAGTGCGGCTAATTGGGCAGACGAAACTGTTGTCATTTTCGAGGGAGAATCACGACCAGATGAGAAAGATCTCAATGCTTTTTAGAGATAAAAATGATCGAGACATGATCAAATCAGTTTATTAACGCTTCATGAGATTGCAGAACAATTTGGAATAACAACATTATTGTTCTATACTATTCTGAGGAGTTACTATTGCATGCATTGTATGATCATTTCCACATTGGTTCAATTGTTTTTCCCCTATTCTTCAAATTCGATGTTTTCAAATGCTTAGTTTTCCTTGTTTCACCTTGATCCGCACTGAAAATATAGAAGTGGAATTTCTATAAAGATATAAAAGTTAGTAAGCACACATATAATATAAACAATTCCTTGTTCTTCATAGCTTAAAACCTAGCTGGACTTTGGGGCCATGGCATTAAACATCATCTTGTTCTTTTATCGATCATATCCATTCCCTTCACCGGCTCTGCTTCTTCCAACCAATTTAGGCCTCTTCATTATCCTCATCTCTGTTCAACGAATTGTCGTTTCCTATATTCTAAATCCTTTTCTTGTTCACAATATTACACTCAAAACACTCCTCATATAGTAAGTTCCATCAATATTGGATTATTGGCTGATCTATAGTCAGTATTGTCAAAGTGCAAATTACCAATTCCACCGCAGTTGCCATACTAATAAGGGCATTTCATTAGTGACCTGCAATATAGACTTCCCCAGTGGTGCCACCAACCGTAGCCACTTCTGCTTCCGTCATATCCTACGCTGCCATCTGAATTCGGACCAAAGCCAACCCGGCCTCCAGTGCTAAATCCATAAGTCTGTCCGATACTATAACCAATATTGCCGCCTCTTTCTCCAACTCTTGAACCGCCATTGCCGAGTTGCCATGGCCATCTCCATCATGTCCACGTCCTTCGATTCCTCTGCCGAAGCTGGAGCTTAATCTCTCATTTTCTCTGCTTGTTCTTGTATCTTTGCGATCAGTTGCAGTATTTCCGATGACTCCACGAGCAAAGCAAAATGATGAGAAAGCTAATTAGAATTAAGACCGATCGAAAAAGTCTACGGAACCACATTCCAGTGCTGGCTTTTTTTTGTCTTTTTGTCTTTTTGTTTTTTTTTGGGTAGCTGCTTTTCGTTCATGAATGTCGTGCCTTTGATTGCTCTCTTGCCATGCACGTAGACCAATTAACGCTTTTATATAGAGCGAAAGATTTGCATGGACATATGTACTTTGTTTGGACTTTGAGGGAGAAGTTAACTTGGCATGAGAAGTGGGTGGGGGTGTTGTTCAGAACTTAGAAGGCCAAAGTTCATGGTTTTTTTTTATGAGAAACCGGTATTGTTTTCATGATTAATATCTCTCTCTCTCACAAAACGATTCTTCGTACATTAAACATATACTTTACGTCTAAACGCAACAAACTTAGATTTATTCAGTTATTGCTGGAAAGCTCTTCTTTCTTAGATGCTTTCTTTCTTTTCTTTTCGTTTCTTTCCTTTTATTATTATTATTTTTATTCCTCGGCTTTGAAAGAGAATTTCTTTGCGTTTAAGTTTTCTAATGCTATGTTTGATAGGATGGATAGAAAAAAAAAGAAAAAGAAAGGAGAAGTAAAATATTTAGGTGAATAAAATAAAATAGTTTTATCTCATGTTGTTTGGTAGAAGAGAAAGAAAAGTAAAAAGAAAATATCAAATCTAAAGTATTTTGTAATAATACATTAATAAATATAAAAATATGATGAATGGTGAATGTTAAAATTATTATTTTATACCTCATTTGTTTATTAAATTTTTTTCTTCCTCTTTTCTTCCTAAAGTTGGAAAGATTATAAATTAGTGGACCCCATAAATTTTCACTTTTCTTCATTCCTTTATCTATCAAACAACTTAAAATTCTATTTTTCTCTCTAAAATTTTTTATCTATTTTTTTTTCTCTCTCTTTTCCACCCTACCAAACACACTGTAATGATGTCACCTTCCCCCTACCAAACACACTACTAATTCCGGGATGTCCAAAGAATGAAACTTCCTATTAATGTTTGAATCAAAATTTACCAGTTAGAATGAAAAATTTTGACCTAAATAAATCAAGTTAATTTACTCCTATTATTTATTTAAATTTAAGTACTAAATTTAACTTGTGATAAGAAAAATTGTGACAAAGGGATATTTTAGAAAATGTTTTATAATTAAAGAATAAATTGGTGATTTTTAGAGAAAAACAAGCAAAATTATTTTCATAAATATTTCCGAAGTATGAATTATTTTTTAAAATGCTCCAATTGACGAAAACCATTCAAAACATTCCTCTCTATATAAAACTGCTTAAAATGTCTTTTATGTCCACTTCCGTGTATATCTTTAACAGATTTGTTACCGTTACATGCCTCTAATGTGAATTCATCGACCAACTCTACAATTTTTCTAAGAAACATTACATTACCCTTGACTAACTACACTACGTCGGAGAAGAAATTTGTTCTTCTTATTCTTCCTTTTTATCAAAAGAATAAGTCCTTTTGTCTCAATTGTTTTTTTATTTAGTATTTATTAATAAGAGAAATTGTGATTTTTCACGTAAGTTTGGCTTGTGAGAAATTTTTTATGTGTTTCATAAATTACTATGTAATTTTATTATTCCTAAAATAATCCTAAAAAAAAGTTACCATATTTCAATTCCATTCTTTTAAACAATGTACTTTTAATTTTTTTACTTTTAAAAAAAAAATAAAATAAAATAAGAAGAGATCTTGTCCCACGTTAGGATTGTAACCTACTCGGAATTAGGGCCCTTTACACACATGGCAAAATTTAAAAAATGAAGTTCAAATATAACAAAATTTTTAAATATTACAAAAATATCAAAATTGCAAAATTTTTAACAAAATAATAACTATGTAGAAATATAACATAGATATAATATCATTATAATAATTATCATATCATTTTTGCTATTCTCTTAATATTTAAAAATTTTGCTAAATTTCAATTCAAGGTAAATTTTTCATGTAATGTAATTATTTTCTCAGAATTAAAAAATTTTGCTAAATTTTAATTGAAGGTAAATTTTCCCATTTAATGTAATTTTCCTATGTAACGGTTTTCAAGTTTTTGTATGCTATGAATCTAGTGATTTTTTTTTTAAATTTTTAAGTATTTCGGTGACTGTTACAACTAGACTGTCGCTAATAACAACAGTTACTGGCCGGTTATTGGTATTGTGGTAAGATACCAAAATTTATTTTCAATTGAAATTTTTGACAATGACAACGTCTGCATTTTTTCATGCTCGGACTCGGCAGTGCTCGCACTTCAACGGCAGTGAGAAGAGAAAGTCTCTTGGTGCGAAGAGAGAAGAAAAAGGGAAAGGAAGAGAATGAGTGTCACCACCCCAAGGATATGACCGTGATTATAGGGGTTTAATTTAAATTTTAACTTAATTAAACTGGATTAATTAAGAAAAATCCATGAAAATAAAATAAAATATACAAATACCAAAATAGATATTAATACATATTGCTCCGGAGTCTTTCTTTTACAAACAATATTTAAAATAATCCATAAAGTTTAAAATAATCCATAAAGTTTAAAATAATACAACTTCGGGACAGTATCGACCAACACACTTTATATACAGAAATACAGTACAACTCAGAATTAAAAACTGCAAATTCAGAATAAACTAACCACTTCGAATCTCGTGCCTTCAATCCATTGGCATCCACTTACCATGTTGTAAATCTAAACCGCTAACTCTCGAGGGGGGTTAAAACATTGAAAACATAAGAAAAAAAAGCGAAAGGCCCAGTAGGATACAATTTTATAAAATTGAATAAATAATGAAAATACAGGCTCGAAAGAATCATTCGGAACTAAACAACCTTTTTACTGAAAGGTAAATAAACTTAAATTCCCGATTACAGGGCAACAAGCAAGTAATTTAATAATAAATTACTTACGACCAATGCAAGGCCTTATCACCACTGTAGTGGCCTGTCCAGATTTCAGATTCTGCCCCCAAAGATATGATTTCCATATCCTGTCTAGGCCATCAGCGGGCTTACTGGTTCTTAAAACATCTTATTTTAAGGAAATATCTTTTAAAACCTTAATTCAGTTCATTATGAGATCAATAGCATATTTCATGTTTATTTCTAAAACATGTTGTCTTTAAAACATTTTCATATGCCAAAATACTTTGAAACAAGGCTAACAAGGATATGGACAAGAATATCCTACCTCTTGGCAATTTAATTTACGGAAATAGTAGAAAATAGGCCAATGTGAAAAGTTTAAGAAAGTATATAGGCCAACTTTTAGTTATAGAAATTAATATGTCATAACTTGTCAAGTTATTGTTCATAACCAGATAAGTTATGGACAAACTTGTCAAGTTATGGTTCATAACCAGACAAGTTATGGACAAAAATCGTAAATTATGGACAATAACTTGTCAAGTTATGGTTCATAACCAGACAAGTTATGGATGAAAACAGTAATTTGGCCTATTTATTAACTTATGTAAACTATTGGCCCATTAATTTTAATTCATCTCAAGTCTTGGCCTATTTCCCTCTTTCTCCCTTTAATTTACGGATAACTTTACGTTGTCCAACCATCTATTCTTGAAACTCTATGTTCGATCGTGTAACTAGTTCTGCTTGCCATACTTGTCGGGCCCATAATTGTTTTAAAGCCCTTTTGATCTAGAAGTGTTGGATAGCTTGCTCTGAACTTCAACGAATCCATTCGATTCACGTGCACAGTACCGTAGACTTTTCAACGGAGTGGAATTAGCACCAGCGGATTGTTAGGAATGGTGTCCTAGAAACATAAGATGTAATAGGATATTTATTATTTATTTAATAAAAGAGTTTATTCATCATTTTATGTGTATATATTTGTGAATATTTTATGAATATCAATGAAAATTCCGTCATTATATATGTAACCTTAAACATTGTATATAAGTGTTATATACGAGAGGATAATGTTTAAGGATAATAATCAAAAAGTAATGTTCATAATGAATTTAATTAAAGTTCAGAATCTTTAATTAAAACATTATTAATACATGTCATTCCCATTTAGAATGGAACGGTGTTATCCGCACTGTGAATATGGTGAGATATTGAATGAGTGTATTTCGCATAATGAGATTATGTGGAACAAGGACACAGACACAATATGAATTTCTAATAATTCCGTTAAGTATAGAAATTCTAATTGAGTCTACCGATGGTCATATATAGGATGGTCTTAATTCTGAGTTCTTAACAGACTCTTATTTATGGATTTGTGTCTTTTGATTTAATCGGTACGGATTCTGAGATCCTGAATCCTATTCCTTGTATTTTGAAGACATGATGAAGTAGGTAGCTGGGAATGTTATTACACAAGATGGAATCCATTCCTTCTTAAGAAAGAAGTAGATAAATAATTCTCTTGAGGGTTGATTCGGTACTTGGACCAGTAGGAGCTCTGATTCATGAATGTGTTTTATAAATCACTGTCCATTAGAGAATCAATGATACTCAA